AAAATATGTTTGAGACTGTAAATAAGTGCTCTCTAAAAAGAAATTTTTTTCTAAATTTGTTTAAAATTTTTCCTTCCACTTCAGCACTGGTCCTGCCATCTATGATTAGTATCTAAACCTTTTTCTAGTCTGTTTTCTTTATAAAACAGTGTCTGGGCGTGCTAAACCTCACTTTTAAAATTTTAGCCAATTCTAGTCGAAGGTGTCAATTTCTGTACCATGTTATTCCACCCTCTGTATTTCACGTTTGACAAATCATAGGATGATAAGCAAATCTCTGGATTTTACAATATGAATGTGGGTGGTGCTTATTATAGTAACTGCCATTTTATGTAGAGGTTGTATTTAGTATTGGCCAATAGTGGTTTTCTATAAGCGTTAGAAAACTTGCTTCTGGAAAAAACCGCATGGGATGTATGTGGCTTTTATTATTTTTCTATAGTCATGCAGCATTGTATATCTATTTATATTAATCATTATATTGAAAAATTAACTCAAGTAGATATATTTTTTAGGAAAGAAGTTGATCCACGATTGTTAGGGTTAAGAGCTATTGAGTGGCGAGTGCAAGGTCTTTACATGAATTAGGCTTAGTACTTTGAACTGAAAGAGTTTGTGATTTTTTATATTCTTTTGCATTTAAATTAGTAGTTTTAAGTTCAATAATTTAGAATAATTTTATACTTAGCTCATAATAATAATAATATGATTCAGTATTTAGAATGATAAACTTGTGTGATTTGTACGTAATACTACTAGTACCAATACCACATAAAAATTTTATATTTTTACTTCTTACAATCTTTACTTTGTAGTAAGACCCACACTTTAGTTGTTGTTGCTTTAGAATTAAAACAATCTAACTGATATATATATAAAGTTTATTTGATATTTTGCAAATGGTTTAAAACTCGGTGTACAAGTGACAACAATAAAACCCACATGTTGGTTGTGAATCAGACTAAATACATTTGTCTCAATAATACAGGGAAAGCTATGACATTCTCACAGTAGGAGTCTCAATACACTTAAGAGCTTAAGTTTCGATTTTCCAATGTAAATCTTTCCTATAATGAGAGGAGTGTCACCAGGACTAATCTTTTAAGTGCAGTAAAGTAATTTTCTTTGTAATTTATGGTATCTGTATCATTTGGTAATCTCTTCTAACAGGATGTATCAAGTAACTAGGGTCAGGCGGTGTTATTCAAACCACCTGTACTGTAAACTATTACATACATTTGCTGGTAGTGGCAATTAGTTTTGTCTGTATAGCGAAACAACATACAAGGACATATGTTGAAATAAACTTGTTTGAAAGTTCAAAGAAATGATATTAAAGTATGAAAAAGGTTTATTACAGTAATGTTGAAATGTGCCTGTGCTGGACTGAATGAGAGTAACCACCAACAGCCATGATAGTTTATGCCAAATGTACAAAATTCATGCTGCTAACCACATGATTTATTTGGCACAACAAACAAAAGTATGGCTGCAATGAAACATAAATTAAAATGTTTTTTATGTACACATATAAACATGAGATGCTAGTTAAAAATAAAGATACTCATTTATTGTTTACGTTTACTTACAAATATTATTTTTGGGTCTTGTATATTACTTGAAACCATAAGGAGAGTACGTGATTATTAAAAAAATGAAAGAGATACAATTTGCATTTTATGGACAATAAGAATTTTTTGAGATTTTAAAATAATGTACAAAACATAAAAAGTAATAAGTTCAAATCTGGAACAAATATAAATATATTAATCATTTCCTATAAATACCATTTCCTGATGTAATTTTTCAAGATATTAAAGATCATAATGCAAAATTCATCAAAAGTAACAGGCTTTATGTTTCTTAAACTACATGCATTTATGAAAGTTCTTATGATGTTTCAAACAGTTTCATCCACTAGTTTTATTGTTGGAATGAAATATAGCAAGACTTGCATTGGGTATTCAGAAACATAGTAGCCAGTGGTCATCAGGTTAAGAAGGCAATATGGGGCACTGACTGTGCTCCAAGGCTGCATATTGCAGCTCAAGTTCATATGGAATGCCATAACGATACGTATTAGGCATTATCGCAAACTGCCACTAACTTAGATAATTACATCACTTTATTAGGATGTTTGTCTCTAGATTTATGAAAGAGGGTGAGTGCCTCCTTTAATTTGATAATGAAGACTTCCCTCAAACTGAAGGATATTATGTACCTCCTGTTAAATTTATTTCCAGTAATAAAACCAGTGGATAAAATTGTTTCATAAAAGTATGTAATTGGAAAAAAAATTGTTATTTAATGTAGTTTTTTTTTGCACTGAGACTCTGAATAGTTCACCTGCAAGGTAATTTTCATTTTGAGCATAAAAATGCTATTTATTAGCTTGCAGATTTCAGATTTTACAATCTCTGGAACCTCCTAAATGATTATCAAAAGTTTTTAAGGTAAATGTTTATGTTTCATTTTTCAATTTCTTTATCATATCACTAATTCTAACTGTTATCATCAATGTACAGTGCGATGAAATGTTGAAAATTAAGAAATCGATATATGTACATACCTTTTAACTCTTTGTTGAATAATCTTAGAATATCTTCTTTAGATCATATACAAAATTTCACATCTTTGCCTTTTCACTTACATCTTATTTGCAATATTTTAGTTTCATTCCATGTTCTTTATCTTTGATTATTTATGTTGACACAAATTAGCATGTGCCCATGGACAATATAATGTTAACATCGGCAGAGACGGTTTTAGCTTCAAGTAAAACGTTGTTTTGTCTTTATAACTTTTTGAAAGCTGGTTCAATGAAGCAAAGCATAGAATTAATTTTAAAAATCATAATTCCTCTCAAATATGAATTTTAAAACACAAGTAATACATAATTAACTAAAATATTTTAAAGTGAAACTAAAATGCATTTCAACTGTCTATCAAACTAATATATATAAGGTGAAAGAAAAAAGAGCCAAGTGCTAGGAATCCCACTCTCAACAATAGACTAAGCTTTATTTTACCTCATTTGCTAATGGATATATACTTCTACATTTACTGTTAATTTAGTGATCTTCCAATGGGAAATACACTTTTTCTATTGTTTATAAGCATACCATTTAACTTTAAACTGTTGCTTAGCAACACAACTTTTACTTTGCAAGTGTGCATGACCTATCAAGAACTAAGAAAATTTTAGAAAAGTTTTCTCCTCTGGGACAACCTATATAATGTACTTTGAACATTTGCACAGAATCATCTCCATTACATCTACAGTTTCTTCTGTACCAGCTCTTAAATTTGATATTTGTCACTGCGAGTGTGTAATGAGATATCAAAACTCAAGTTTTAAATAATATTTTTGAGGTTTCTTTTGAAATAAAGTAATAAAACTTAGATAATATAAAACTTTGAATTATAACATGCTTTATAATAATAATTTCACTAAAATACATTGACACTAAAGTGGTTTAATTGTGAATGTAAGTCAGTAACATGCACAGAAATGGTTTTAAAAAATAGCATCATCATTATAGGGTTATATTCACAATATCTCAGCTGTATAGTGGTAGAGACTCTGATAACAGGATCCTGTCTGCACCAATATTTCACAGTTCATTTCCTCAAACGTTTCTATCAGGTTATCTTCTGGAGTGGATAGACTTAGAGTTATGTATTCCAGTGTCAGATCAAAATTTTCTGTGGTGTATGGTAAAATGGTCAAGGTGATAAAGTATTTGGATAAGGAACTCCTTGATGACTGTGACACTGTGGAAAACTAAGTGATCCCCCAGTGCCAATTTGAAAGATCCGAGGCTATTATTTTATGTGAATTTAGTTACTTACGTAGATGATCTAAGAAGAGTTTATGAGTGGAGGGATATGTAGAGTCTATTATTTTATGTGAATTTAGTTACTTACGTAGATGATCTAAGAAGAGTTTATGAGTGGAGGGATATGTAGAGTCTATTATTTTATGTGAATTTAGTTACTTACGTAGATGATCTAAGAAGAGTTTATGAGTGGAGGGATATGTAGAGTCTAGGAGTAGTCCTTTCCTGGACATAAGACTTTTGCCAATGCTTTGAGGGTCTATGACATTGGTCAGCTTAGAACCAATGACTCAGAAAGATTTGCTTATGGCTGGTGCACCCACATAATTAGAGCAGATGTTACACTAAGGATTAATTTCAGCAGAAGGGAAGTGAAGATGACTGAGATTTGCCAGAATGATTGATGACAGATAAATTAAAGATCACGTGTCTCCCCAAGTCATTGTTAGTTTGAGCACTGCAACTCTGGTCAAACTACTCAGTACTGGACAGAGGCTGGATGAATGGTTTCTGTCAGTCAATAAGATGAGGTACCTTTCATGGTGGAAAGGTTCCCCACGATTTTGAAAGCAGCTATCAACACCTGGGATCATGCATGATTGTACAAGGAACTACCATGAGAAGCTCGTCACCTAATAACACTAGACAAGGTACCAACTGCCCACTAGAGTATCAAAGTCCCTGTGGGTGGCTTCCACTGAGAACAAAGGATATTAGCAGCAATTCCTCCAAGAATCAACCACAGTAAGGAGAGAGCAAAAGCATTGTCCTGATACACAGAACCCTGTAGATGAGACCAAGCAGATCTTGCCACGGATATTCAAGGGTACAGCAAAAGAGGATATGGATCAATTCCTGAAATATATTAGGCAGATTATATCCTGGAATGGATGAGCTAAGAAGCAGGCTGTGCAATGTCTGGTTCTGAGATTTGACAGGTTGGCTCTTGACACTATGTAGCATCTGGGTAGGGAACAGGAAGATGACTGGGAAGCTACTGTGTATAAAATGTGTCACTGATTTGAACTAGTGGAGAATTGGGCAATATAGCAGGCCAAAAGAAAGGGTCTGATTGCCACTAAATGACTAATATTCAGTCAGTGGGCAGGGCTATGTAGATCTTCATACAGTGTACATGCTGCATCAAGGTCCATCCATAAGATGTATGCTAAAGAAAGGTCTGCCCTAGGGGTATTTGCCATTACAAGGGGACATTCCCAAAGTCCATCCATGCAATACATACAGCAGTCACAGCTGATGCCTATGCCTGGACATGGTCAAGAATGGGGAGAAGTGTTTGCTTACTTGTGGACTTGTGGGGTACTGATGAAGGAACTGTCCATACTTTACAGCACAGTAAGGATGGCATAGCCAGTTCCTGCTAACCCACAACATCAACACTTTGCAGGTTCAAGATGACCTGCAATGAATGATGGATGTGGCAAATGCTCTGTTGGTCTTGGCCACTAGCTTGGGGGATGCATAGCAGACAGCTTGCCCAAGGTATTTATTGGTCAACCCATATATGTCAGGCTAATGAAGACTGATTGGTTTGTGCTGATAACGGTGCAAGGGCAAAAGGTTGATTTCTTGTTAGAGATAAGAGTGGTGAGAAATTTAGTGGATTTCACAATCTTTCAAGCCCTCTTGAATGAATCAAGTGAATATGGACTTTGTTCTGATGAAGGAGGATAGACTAGACTTTAGAGGATAGATCTGCAGCTTAGTCTAGGAGATATAGCATCCAGAATGAAAGTAACTGTTCCCAATCCAGGATCTGGAGTTGGCATCTTTGGGCTGGAGGCACTGTGGATTTTATCAGTCAGTTTTACCTGTGCAATTGGTGAGCTGATGTTCCATGGGTAATTCGTCCAGTTCCACCCAGATGAAGCCCAGGAACATGTATGAGTTTATGTAGCAATTGGAATAACAGTACTTCCTCGTAAACAAGTAATGTTCCATAATTTAATCCTGATAAAATCTGATGCTTCAGTGTTGTAAAACATAGTTGTCAAAGTCGTGCATTAAATAAACTGTTCCTTGTCCAAAAAGCAGCTAGTCTTAACTCCTTTAGTGACCTTCCTAACAAGGGATTAAATCTCAGAACTGCTTTATAATTATGAATGATCAGGTATCCAGCTGGACTCTGGAATGGTCACAAATATGGTAAGTGGAAAAAACCAATGCTCTCCATGATTGAGAGCAAACATAAAGCTACCTGAGGACATTGGTTGATGATTGTGCTAACAGTCTGGACCCGATATAGTGAAAGAAACTCAGTGACATATTAGGTGAATATGCCAATATTAATGTGGGACCAGATAGCTAATTGGGTCAAACAACAGTGAATCAACACCATGTAGACACAGGTGACACATGTCTGATAAAGCAACCATCACACCCATTTCTTTAGATCATTAAGTAGGTTGCAAGTCCTAAAATACAGTGGATACAGTATATAACATTTAAAGATATCTGTGAATTTTGTATCTATAGAAATTGCTTGGTCCTCTCCAGTAGTGATTGTCAGGAGGAAGGAAGATTTTTCATGGTTATTTTTTGACTTCTGATGGACAAACAGTAATTCATGCTGACTTCTTCCCTCCAGTTTTGACAGATGAATCTTTGAATATGTTAGAAGGATTCTTTGTGTAGAACACCTTTGGTGTGGCATCCAGATACTGGCAAGCCAAGCTGAATCACTATATTGCCATACAGAGAAATCTTGTACCTTCATGGAATGTCCTGATCTTGGACATCATTTGGGGGTTGTCTTCAAGATTAGTTGAATCTAGTTGCTTTATTTCTTTGTTCTACATACTAGGTGATGTCAGTTCTGCCTAAAGAGATATTGCAGCAATATATAAAATCTGTGTTAAAAGTATTTGCACTGTAATATACTTTGCTTGCTGGTTATGATGTTTACTAATGTAACTATCAACCAATGCTATGAGGGAACAAAGGTAACAAGGTGACGCTGTCAACTAAACAAAGAAAGTGAATTTACCTGTTGAACTGAGGCTTGCTTTCTTTTGCCAGTTTTTATTCGGAGATTGTCAATTGAAAACTTCTTTCAAGAACAATGTTTTTTTAGTTCTACAGAAATTAATCCTGAGGGAGAGAAGGCTGTGGAGTTAATTACATCCTAGTAGAAAAGGCTGTCATTACACCTGTGTTTACCTGGAGTACCAGATGTGTATCTTATGTACATGATGTAACTAATATATTCCTTCAGCTTTGATTTAAAAAATCTTCAACATGTTTAGGTCAAAACCTGAAGACCAAAAGACAGAAATCTTTTGAAATGTCAACCTTTCTACCTGAGCTATTTTCACAGACTGATCCTCCATGACTTTCTCTACAAATATCACTGTTGGCAGTTGCTTGCCCATTTCAATTTTATTTGTTCATGAATTTTCCTTTCTTATACATTGTATTCTATTTATGATGTGCTATATGTAGGTTTACTTAATCTTAATTTTCTTGTGTTCCATTTAATATGTTGTTCAGTCTTATTTTGTATTTTTAATCTCATCTTGGAATTTTTTTTTTTCATTTTGTTTCTGTATCTTTAAATTTAAATGTATAAATTATTCCTGATGTTTAATTTCATAATATGATTATTTTATATTATATTTCCAATTTTCTTTTATGATATGTTTCAATTCATTCTAAAATTGTATCTACTTTTATATCCAGTGTTATTTTTTATTTCTTCTGTAATACTGTTTAACCTGTTATTTAGTGTTTGTAACATTTAAAGATATCTGTGAATTTTGTATCCATTTTATTTTTGTTTTCCTTATTTAAAGTGGCTGTTTGAACTTGTATGTCTAAAGAAAATTTCCTTTGTTGTTGAGCATGTTAGTGTTTTACCATTATATATTATGTTCTCAATAAAGTTATTATCAAGTATTAAGACCTTGTAAGATAAACTTTAATTTGGTGTTTCAGATTTAATTTTAGTGTTTGGTCTTAGAACAGCCATGAGATAAAGGGGACAGTTGTACAGTTGAAAGAATTGCTGTTCTCACACTTACAGAACTAGGAAAGAATATATCTTTATTCATATATACTCAAGTGAATTTTTCAAAATTTTTGTGCAGCTGTTATGTGTTTAGTTAATTGTAAACAGAATGTGAAAGATCATAACTTCTGTTGAGTCTCTATGTGGACAAAATTTATATACCAGAATGATTCTTCAGTAAGGCTTATACTTGCTTGACCCTTTTTCTATACCACCTCTCACCTGGAGTACAGATCACACTCAAGTTTGTTTAGGGTGATACAGAGACTTGTAAAAGTTGATGTGATTTGATGGTTTTTATCTCCTTTCAATGTTTAATAATATTAATCATTACCATAGATGATTTAGAACTGTGGAACATCATGGTAGGAACTTTCATTCAAACATAACAGTGAAATATACCATTACTCTTGCTCTGATCTTTGTCTTGTGTAGATGTGCTTCCAATTACCCCAGCAGCCAAAAGTTTGTGATTTCCAGAACTCTAAAGCCAGCTACTAAAATTTTCAAGGACAGATTAATCCCAATAAAGATTTTCTTTGTTTGTTCTCTTGTATTTTCTTCTTTTCTTTAGACATTGTGTGTTCAATTTATCACCTGCTTGACATATTCAGAATCTGCTGCTTATTATGAATAATTTATTTTGTTTGTACCTAAATACCATTATGTTAATTAAGTGGTAAATAAGTTATTTATACATGAAGAAAATTGAGTTTAGTTGAAACAAAATTTTATTTGGTTTTATTATGTTAACTTTGTGTTATAGATAAATTGAGTGTTGGATTGATATATGTGTGATTAAATTTATCTTATGACTGTTAAAATGCATATAACATTTTGATATCACATTGATAAACAAAAGGCTATAAATAGAATATGATATTTAAAAAACCAAAATCTTTACAGAATTATTCATCTGTAACTACTGTTCTTGGACAGAGGATATTTAGAGAAGAAAATTCTGAATTAAGTCCCTGTAAAGGTATCTCACTTCCACCTTCACCATGCCGATTGCACATGAGGTCCAAGAAAATGGAACACAATAAAAGTGTGTACCTTAAGCCACAAGATCCTGGTATGTTTTAACTTCTTAACTTATTATAATTGTTTTTATATTATTTTTATTTTTATAAAATTGCATTGAAATATGTAGAAAAAACGTTTTCCTAGTTGAAGAGGAAAATGAGTAATTGACTCAAATATGTCAGGCACTGGTAGTTGCAGCTGAATAGCCTCACTTTGTGTTGAGCATGTCAAATATTCAGGCCTAAGGTCATGTTAAATAAAATATCAGGGTCATTTATAGCTTATAATTAATTGTTTAAGCCTTATTAACAAGTTTTAACAATTAATAATCATCTCACAATGGGCATGTCAAAGTGAGTTTGTCATGATTTTCTAGAGTTGCATTCAAAACTTAATTAAACTACTTTATTATCATGGTATATGGATAAACTTGCCATCAAAATATAATTAATAAATATAGTTTTAATATTGTATAAATTTTAGTTATTACTTAGCCTTCAATGTTATTTGTTTATCGAGCCATAAGCTAGAAAATCAGACACACTTGCCACACCTACTTTTCGCATTCTCTCATTCACAAATTGCCAATAGTCCTCTCTGATGTTTAATACTATATTATTTATAACCAATAGAAAGCCAAAATTTTAACTAATCTATCAAATGACATATTATATTATATCATTTTCTGTACAGAGAATTGTCTATTTCACTTCCAATTCAAACTTTATTCCCATGGGTAACACATCGAAGAGATTAACTGAATTTTTAATAGCTCTTATCCCACAGTTCGAAAGCCAAAATAATTGTCTACTTTTTGTAATATTGTTGTGTGTTTTGGGTACATTTTAAAATTAAATGTGTATTTAGTATAGTAGTAGTACCATTAGTGTAAAAAAGTAGGCTTAAGTACTAAATGTTTTATTTTTCATGCGTATTAATTATTCATTTATTATTATAAAATAACTAAAATGTAAAAATTAGAAACATTGTTTTAGATAAGGTTAAATAAGGTAAGATAAAGAAAAAGTAATAATATAAACTCTTCATGAGGTATGCTCGCAATCAGTTTGTGTGTAACTTGTGCATTATGTAATTCAGTGCAAAACATGAGCTACACATTTACCAAGTCATTTCCAACTTGTGTGGAGAGGGATTATTAGTTAAACACGGTTCAAAGGGCTGTAAAAGAGTAAAATGTACATAGAAACAGATGTATACTGTTACAAGCTTTAAGGCTTTTAGGATAAACATCTATAATTTCATGTAACAATTTGCAGCCATTCTAGAAAGAAGAAAGGTGATAATTTTTATGGTGGTTGTGAAGTTGGTCAAATTGACCAGGTGTGTATAGGGTTATAGTATGCTTTCAATTAGCTTGTACATTACGTAATTTGATAGGGTAATGTGAGCTATATGTTTGCTGATTTATTTACAACTTTTGTGGTGGCGGTGTGGATTCACTCTCAGTTGAGACTGTCAATGATCTCATTCGTATTGAGATGGAGACATATATTCAGGTTGGTGGTGTTTTTTCAGTGGGCTCTGAGGCTGCGATAAAGGGTGGTTCTGGACATTCTGGAGAGAATTTAGATTTGCTTATTCCTATGCCTTTTGTTATTCTATTGGCTTCTCAGTCCCTCTGTGGGATAGTGGTAAGTTTGCAGACTTGCAACACTGGAATCTCGAATTCAAATCCCTATAGTGGACACAACAGATAGCCCAATGTTACTTGACTTACCTGACAAAATGTTGTTCCAAACAATGGTAATAAGAATTGACTTTAAAAAAATAAACAAGAAGGCCACTTTGGGGTAAGCTACCTCTGATTTGTTTTCCTCAGTTGGTTCATTGAGAGTATGATATTTTGGGTCTTTCTCCAGTTGCTTTTGAGCCTGCACTTTACTTGAAGGCTGAAAGGTCTGGGAGTGAATAATTAGTGTTCTCTCCATCCATGGACATTGTGGTTCATGCAGGGAGGTTTACTGCTCAGTTAAACGAAGAGACAGCTATGCCTTATCTGCCATGGTTCTTAAAACTACATGATTTAGCCCACCACTGCCAGGTGGAAGCATATTCCAACTCAATTAATACATTTGCTCCTTGAAATTAGGGTTTCTAAGATAGAGTTTGTAGTTAACCCAAAAAAAATATCAATGTCCCCTGGAGGGATAGTGGCAAGTCTACAGACTTACAACTCTAAAATCCATGTGGTGTTTTCCTAACAATAAACTTTATTGGAAGACTCTCAAGATCACCACATTGATAATGAGCTGGAACCATTGTTAGCATGCACATTGGTTTGCTTGTTGGCTTCTACATTCATCCCTGTTGTTGTGGACATCTTGACTTTCAAAGAGGCTTCTACAGGGGAACACAGTTCAGCTCCAATTTAGAGTCCTGACCCCTGACATCAGCCCCTTAGTACATTGGTACCCAGAATAGATTCTGTCCATATCCAAGGGTTCCACTGCTTGGTCAGAAAGCTGCCAGTGGCATTAGTGATTATTATATGCCTTCAGGGTCTGTGGGGGTTTGGCTCCAAGAATTTCTGAATGTGTGGTAACCTTAACCACAGATCCAGGAGTACTACAGGTCCTTTAGTTAGGATTAGTCATTCAGATTACATCTTCACTACCATTATTCACTCAACCTGTAGGGCTTTCATCTCTTGCAGATCCTCGGATTTTGGAACTTAATTCTAGGGCAATCAGAGTTTGGTTGGTCTGGGGGTAGAGAAAGAGAGTCGTGCTAGTTCTTCTGGGGTTTTATTCACATCAGTTGTTGGGGCTGATAAGACAGGAGATTGGTGTCCAGTCATCGATTATTCTCATCTGTATCAATGCCTAGAATCTCCAAGGTTCACAAGTGACTCCTTACTCAATCTCAGTTGGTATTTTTCACTAGGATTGTGGAGGTCCAGGTTTGTTGTAGTCGGCTCCTATCTGCACATTGTCATAATAGTGGCATTCCACCACTCTCAGTGATTTTTGTGCACAAGGATCAGGTTCTGCAGTTCAGGGTTTTTACTTTCGGACTAGCATCCGCACCACATGAGTTCTGCCAATTCGTATGAGCTTTTTCTCCTTACCTCCATTCCCTAGCACTGTGTACACACCATTCCATGGACAACTGGTTACTGCTGGCACTATCTCATCAGTTGTAAGAAAGTCACACCCAGATTTTTCTTTGGGAAACAACCAAGGCAGGCTTCATTCTTAGAGCTGAGAGATGTATTCTAACTCCATTTCAACATGTCATTGGGTATTTCTTATCATCACATATCTCAGTCGGGCTCAGTTAACTCAAATCTAGCTCCATGCTATGGAATACAAAGCCAGGCTGTTACTCATTTTACCTTCTCCCACTGCACAGACGGTTCTTTCTCTTTTAGGAATGTGGGCATCATTCAAATCCTTCATGCCTTTGGGTCAAGCACACTTTCAATGGTCTTTATGGGACCAAGGGATCATAAACATTGATTCACTGGATTCCCCAGTTTCCTTATTCAGGATCATTTTTTGATCTCAAGAGGTTGTTAAGTTGGGATACTTATTAAGATATGGGTTCCTCTGCCACCACCTTGTCCAGAAATCCATCTTTTCATGAATTCTTTGCTTCAGGGATGGGGTACATATTCTAACAATCAGGAATACCAGGGTCTATGCACAGATGACAAGACTTCCAAACACAATGTTTTAGTCATTCTTGCTCTTCAAAAGGCAATGCCTTATGGTATGGGCTTATTAAGGGGAAAATGATCAGACTTTACTCCTACAGTTCCATGTTGGTGTTTTGTATTTCTTGTCAAGAAAGCATTTGTTTCAGGTCTCCTTGTTTTTGAACCTTGAATCTCCTTTCTTGGGACTATTACTATCATATTACCTTACTAGCTTGCCATGTTCCATGGGTGATGACTTTGGTAGCAGATCAATTATTTTGACTAAACAGACTCTCCCAACAGAATATATGCTGTATTGCAATGTTTTGTTGGATTGGTTCTAATTTTGAAACGCTGATGATTGGTGGGTTGACCACTCATTGGAACACCCAACTATTGGCAATTTGGTCTCCAGTACCTCACTTTGAGCTTTGGCAATGGATGCATTCCATCAGAATGGGACGGGATTACAACTCTAGGCCTTCCCTCTAATTCATATGTTACCAAAAGTACTGGCAATGATTTGTTCTAACCCATTATCAGGTGCTGTTAATAGCACCAGATTGGCAGCTACACCCTGGTTTCTGCTTCTGTGGTACCTTAAGGAGAGCCCACCTTTTCTCTCTTCCTCATTTGCCATCTCTGTGGAGGCAACCATGTTCCGACATCATACACCTGGCTATACAGAAGCTCAAGCTTCAGGCATGGATGTTAAGCAGTTGTTTGCATGGCATCAAGGTTTAATTTCTATGGTTACAATGTATCTGTCTCCTTCTTTGCTTAGTCCTATGATAGACATTTATCAACAGAAGTGGTATACATATCGGCAATGGTTTATCGAGAAGATGTTGAACCCACAACGATAAGAAGTGCCAACCATATCTTGTGTTTTTCGACCTGGCTTTTTGGCAAGGGTTTTGCATCTTTCACAGTCTCCCTGTTTAATGTGTTCTTATCAATTACCATTATCAAATTCTTTGAGTCCCCAGTACTATCCGAATTCTTCAAGTTGCTTTGGGTCCTTTGTTCCAAATGACCATTCTGGTTACCTACTTGTTATATTAAGGTTACATTACATGCCTTTTTTCAACACCTGTTTGTAGCATGTTTCTCATATGCCATATATCACCTTTATCTGAAGGTTTAATTTTTTTTGCTGCTCACCTAGAGACATTACTGGTCATAGTGGTTTGTGTTTATTGTCCACAAGATGCTTTATCATTCTTCCTACGTCATCAGACTGGTTCTTCTTATTTAAGACACTGTCAGCCATGGAAGGGGATAAATCCTTTTCAGTGATTCATCTGATCACTATTTCTCATTTCTATGAGAGATCAGATTTTGATCACTGTTACATCCCATGAGGATCTTGAAGGTTTTGTTGTCTGCAC